TCAAACACCATCTTGTTTTAGGTTTTACATTTTAGTTTCATATGTTACACTTTTGGGCTAAAATAGGTAAATCCGAGCCTTTAAGGGTTTATTTCCAAATCGGGTGGTGCAAAGTGTGCACAAGCATATTCACTATGACTCATTTGATATGTATGAGGTGTGGCCAAGGGCCGAACACCATTTCATTTTCATTTATATGCCATGGTGTTGTATTTCACTTTTTTAGGCAATTTTACGCAAAATTGAGGTTTGAGAGGTCATATTTTGTATTGAGGGTATTTTGAAGCCGTGGGCTATTAGAACGTGTCTTAAATGTCTTTTTACATTTGCGTACATGTCCACATCTCACAAAACTCTTAAATTTTGGTTTTGGAACTTCATGGGGGCGATTTATGAGTTTTTATGCAAAATTCATGCATTGGGGTATGAATTAAAGTTTCCTCTTGGTTTATCATGTTGTGGATGTTTATATGAGTCCATGGAATGTTTTCAAACTTGTTTTGGGACACTTGGGATGCATGTATAGCTTTCGGTGTGGACCGAGCATCATTTCCACACTTGATAGCAACAGATTTTGCTTCTGTCTGTTGCGTCGGTCAGCTGACAAGAGTCATCAGCTGGCTGATAGCCTTCGTAGGCATTTTCCAGTGAGTTTGCATGTTTAACAGGTCATTTCGGCCTGATGATCCTTGCCGTCAGCCGGATGATGATGGAGTTTCGGCTGGCTGATCCTTGCCGTCAGCCTGCTGATCCTCCTTGAAGCTTGATTTCCTTTTAGTTTATTGGACAACTTTCTTGAGCCAACTTCAGAGGGTCATATCTCACTCGTTTTTAATCCAAATCAGGTCATTCTTAAGCCTAACTTCAAGAGATTGAAGTTAGTTTTCCAATGGTACTAATCACACATAAAAACCCCAACCGTAGTGAGAGTAATGACAGTTTTAGTGAGATAGGTACATGGTATCTCTTAATCGGAGGATGCCTCTTTGTTCCATTTTCATATCTTTTCCGTCCGGACTCCGAATCAAGTGATTCTTGAGTCTAGCTTTGTTCATTTTTCGTTGTCTTTCCAATGGTGTGCATGGTGACACCCATTTCAGTTTGGAATGACCATTTTGCCCTTGATCCATTTCTTGGAGGGTTTTGAAACCCTAACTCCGGTTTTACTTTCGTTGTGTCACGAGACTCCTCAGAAGGCTACTCTCGTGTCTTAGGGATGATGTATATCTCTATAGACTTGTTTATGTTTGTTTCTGCATTTTGGATCCGTTTTGGGTCATCACAGGACACGCTAGATTTATAAAATCCAGGGTCGTCACAATAACCTTGTTAGGACAAAACTTACCCTTGACGTGTTGTCAAATTTTAATTGGGTTTTTGAGATTTTAAGGCATTATGGTCATTTCAAATGAAGTAACTAATTTTAACGGTCAAAACTCGCCGGCTCTTGGACGAATGGGGTGATCTACAAAAAATCTGTATAGTTCATAGGGTTTTCTACAACTTTAGTAGTTCAGGGGGTTAGTTGCAGGTTTTCCAATAATTAGAGGGGTTTCTTGCATTTTACCTTAAATAATATGATTGTAGAAAAAATGATTACTCAAAAAATAAAAAATAAAATTAAAAACCAATTTTCAAGGTCCAGCTCTAGCTTATTTCATTAGGCATACCACAAAATCTCCCTTACATCTTTGGGCCCGCAATGTTAAATTAATGGCCGGTTTCCTATATCACCCATGGTCCTATTCGGCTATTTTTATTTTTTATTTTTTATTTTTGAAAAAAAAAATGCTTACTTATTTACTACTAATAATAATAATACTAATAAGAAGAAGATAAAAAAGCGAAAAGTAAAAGGAGAAAAAATAACAAATATATTAGGATGATCAAGTAAATAGTTAAATAGGGGGTATTCCCCAATGACCTAGTTGGAAAAGTCCCGTGTGCCCAAATAAATAAATATATATATATATATATATAATAAATAAAGGGAGGCAATATTCACACTCCGCTTTCTATGTTTGCACTCCATCTTAAATATATATATATATATATATTGGCAATTCTAACTCTAAGTTTACAAGTAAATGATTATTATTTTTCAAATGACACAACTGTCCTTTCAGATTTTCTCTCTTTGTCTCTAATCTTTATTATTTTGAGTCTCTTTTGAAAAGACAAAAAAAAAAAAAAAAAAAAAAAAAAAAGTTATCTCTATTATTATTATTTTTTTACAGGACAAAACAAAAGTTATTCCAAATAAAAATTATTTATGTTGAATAAATTCCAAGTATTAAATAGTTCTCTTTTGACCAGGCCAAAAAATATAAATAAAAAAAACTATAAAAGATATATTTATGGAACAAATTATATCTTTTGTCAAGATCCATAAAAAAGGTATGAAAATAGAAGAGTATCCAAAAAAAATTATCTCTATTATCCATAAAAAAGTTATGAAGTTATCTCTATTATTTTTTTTTTTTACAGGACAAAAAAAAAGTTATCTCTATTATTATTTTCTTTTACAGGACAAAAAAAAAAGTTATTCCGAATAAAAATTATTTATGTTGAATAAATTACAAGTATTAAATAGTTCTCTTTTGACCGGGCCAAAAAATATAAATAAAAAAAACTATAAAAGATATATTTATTGAACAAATTATATCTTTTGTCAACATCCATAAAAAAGGTATGAAAATAAAAGAGGATCCAAAAAAAATTATCTGTGAATAAATTATCTCTTTTGATAAGACCCAAAAAAGAAATAAAAATTCCCACTATTGAATAAACTATATCTTTTGACAGGATTGATACAAAATTACCAAAAAAAAATAATGTAACCATCATTTGAAGGGCAGAAAATAAGTTAACTTTGTTAAATAAATTATCTGTTTTAATAGGACCAAAAAAGTCACTATTGAATAAATTATTTATTTTGAGTTAAAGTTGTATAAAGGGTAGTTGTGGTATTATAAAATAAGGAACATGCATTAATGAGTTCATGGACCTTGTTATTTTCTTTTTTTAAAAAAAATTAAGTGGAGCGTAATTGAAAAAAAGTGGAGTGCGAATATCCTTTCTCTAAATAAATAACCTAACGTAACATTAGGGGTCCACACGGTCCGGTTTTGAGAATTTTTGGAACCAAATCGCTCCATACGATTCTAGAAAATCTGAAACCAAACCAAACCATTTGAGCCATGGAACCAAACTAGCCCAAACCATGAAAAAATGATTTGGTTCGGTTTGGTTTCACGGTTCTAGTTGAATTTTATTTCCTTATATTTTTCCCTTAAATTGTATATATAACAAAAATAACAATAAAAGCATTCACATTCCCGAATCCAAGACTAAAGTAGAGAGAGAGAAAAAAGAGAGGGGAAAGTGGGTGAAATAAACCCAGAAGCTAAACCCTAGAAATTAAAATAAAATTTAATTTTGCTAAAAATGAAAAGGATGATAAATTCGTGATTAAAAACTAGGAAACTTGTTCGTTGTCGTTGTTGGTTTTGTTTGAGGTGCAAACACGCCGTGAGACCCAGATACATGTGAACTGAAAGTGTGAGAGAAAGGGAGAAAGTGTGAGAAATGATATTACCGACGGCAGCGATAAAAGATCAACGGCGATGACCGATGACCGAATTTCGAAAATTGTGTGAGAGAGATTGATCAACAACTGGATCCCTTGGCGATGAGAACTATGAAGTGAATGAGGCGGCGTGAAAAAAAAAAAATGATGATGGAGAAGAAAAGATAGTAGATGAATGTTGGCACGTACCCAAAAATCAAAACATTAGGGAAAACAAAAAGCAAATAAAAAAAAGCAGATAGTGATGAATGTTGGTTCACATTTGACCGTTGTGCTAAAATCCCTTGTAAAGTTAAGAATAGTAAATATGTGTATACACACACACACACACACACACATACACATATTATAAAAGTTTGGTTTGGGCCGATCCGGTCTTGTAGAATCCTAATCCGGGACCGAATCAAAAATTTACGATTCTATTTTTTTAGAACCGTGACCGGACCGAACTACTATGGAACTGATCGCCCGATTCGGTTCGATCCGGTTTGATTTTCCGAGTTGATGGTTTTTTTCAGGCCCCAACATAACATAGTAAAAGACAGGCCCATCAATTTAAAAAATGGGCTATTGGGCCTTGGCAAAAATAATCACTCAATAAGCATGTGGCCTATTAAAAACAACAAATTGGGCTCTGTTCTTTCGGTAAATAATACTCCGTTGCCTCCTCACTTCTTCTATGGCACATTAACAAAGTAACACGTGTCAGTCATTTTTAAATTAAAAAAATGTAATGATTTTTTTTTATGTAAAAATTCTTAAGTTTATATTTTTTTATATAAAGTAAAGTGCAAAAAAAAAAAAAAAAAAAAAAAAAAAAATTCTGAACTTTTGCACAAAAACTATATACAAGACCTATTATTCCATTTAAACTTTTTTACTATAAAAATTATATTTTTTTCATATAATATATTCATGAAAAATTAATAAATCAATTGAATTAAAAAAATGCTTTATTAAAAAAAGATTACTTAAATTATTTTAAAAATTTTTAATTAAGTTTTTTATTTAAACAATTAATTTTATAAATTAAAGATAAATTTATATAAATTTAATTAAGAATATACCATAAAAATGAATTATTTAAAAATAACTAAATTAAGTGTAATTTACTATTAAAAAAAACACATAATAATCGTTTAATGAAAAAATGAAGTCTTTTGTAACAAAATGTGATTTCGCACCAAATATTCTCCAAGAATATTTTTTAATTTTTTTTTTTTTTTTTTTTTACTTTACCCATTTTTATATTTAAAAATAAAAATAAAATGTGTGATTCTATTATAGTGTAATAGAGAAAGCAAATATTGTTCTTTAATAATGTCATTAGACATCTCGAATCTCAATTATTGGCAAATGAAATTCAAAAGGAAAATGAGTAGCAACTCAGAACACAACAGTGACAACACACTTTTCCCACAAACAAAAGTGTTTAATGTATAAACTTTAATCAGAGAGAGTTATACTAATAATCATGAAAAGTAAAAAAAAAAACAAACCACAAATTCTATCCTACACCGCCGCTACAGATCCCGGTTAGAGAAACCGAGAACCGAGAGTGAGCACCAGCCGTTGATGACCCATCCTCCGGTTGCGCGGGTGGTAGGACCCTCCCATCAGCAAACAGCAGCCGTCCATTCCTCGGCTGCTCCACCACACCTTCAAGCTCTGCCGTAACACCGTAAAACGCCCCATCTCCGAACCTCCGTTCCACCTCCAGAAACTCACCCAACGACGAGCGCTTCAACCCATCGTCGTCTCTGCACAGCCTCCACCACCTCCTTCGCCTCTCCGCCGCCGCGGCCACCAATGCCGAATTCTTGCTCTTCCGACGCCCTCCGCCGCCGACGGCGTCGGCGGTGACGGCGGCGGAAATCAAATTGGTTTGCCGATGCTGTGAGGGATCTCGAAACGTGATTGCAGGGAAGGAAACACCCATCAGAGTCCCCAAAGTGGTGCTTCGATCATGGAAAAACGAACCTGTTGACTGTAAACAAAATCCAAAGCAACAAAAAAAAAAATCAAAACTACCAAGAAAAATTTAGATAAGATTTAAACAGATTGTGGAGTTTTTGAGAAAAAGGGTCACCTCAGAGTCGAGATCGGAGGAAGAAACGGAGGAGATAGTTGGAGATGAAGGTGGAGGTAGCAACCCATTTGCTGGATCTAACATTACTCACTTTGTTTCTCTCTCTATGTGCAAATCTAAATGTCTTTTTTTTTTTCTTTTTTTTTTTTCTCTCTCTATATATACATCTGCACTGAAAAGTGGGATAACGAGAATGCTTCTTATAATTTTATCTCACCGTGTTCTAATCATCCGTGCGTGAGGGAAAAAAGACAAGAAAAGATTAGTGATGGATTGGATTATTTAGTTTAGTTGAAAAGACTAATTTGTCCTTATTTTCTTTAGGACACCTTTCAACTTACTGTGGGTTTGGATTAACTAGTATTTGTTTGGGCCGAACTAAATATAAAATAATTGAGGTTTTGCCGTTTCGTTAGCATATAAAAACGAGGGCATATTTTTTTTTCCAAAACCCAATATAATCCAGGGTCACGTGGCCCAAAATCATTAACTTTCTTGTCTCCTTTACCTTCTGTCGCCTAACTTTCTCATTAACCAAACACCATGAACCACCAAAGACAAATTGACATCATGAATCACCTCCGTCAACCTCATGGCACACCACCATGAACAACATTGTGATGTTTATTTCTATTTTTTTCCTCTTATCTCAACTGTTTTTCCCATAGAAAAAATATAGGTGTATCTGTAATTTATTTCGGTGGGCAATTTTAAAAATTCAACTAAAATAATATTTAAGTTAATTGTGAAGTGATAATGTTTTTATAAAATATATTCATAATTGTCCTCAATTAGTTTCATATTTTAAAAATATTTCAACACTACTAAATATAATATAAGGATAGTAACATAATGGTATTTACTCTACCTCTCAAAGTAAAAAATTATGAAATCTCCATAAGGGTAAAAGGTGTAAGTGTATTATTTCAAGAGAAAACCTAACGGTGTTAAATTTGTATTTTTTAATGATAGTTGTATCTACTGTAGAAATTTCACATGTTGAATATAGAAAAATACAAAGACAATTCAATAACTTTGCATTACACTTTGAAACAATAATTAATTCATTATTGAATACCTTTGAATAATACTTTGCAATTATTTTAATATAATGAATGATACATCAATATGAATAAGGGAAAATAACCATGGGTCATATAATTTAACATATAATATAATCCTAATAATATAAAATTAAAATAATAATATACATTAAGAAATTAAAATAATAATAATAAAATAGGTAAGAAAGAACGAGTCTGATTGTAGAGGCATGTATAAACATATTGACCTAAAATTGATAGCCTTTCCAAGAACAGGTCTGATTGTAGAGGCATATATAAACATATTGACCTAAAATTGATAGCCTTTCCATTCGTGCGGGTATTGTCAAAACTAGCTAGCTCCAAGATAGTGGCCCTGTGATGGCATTAAGCCAGAAATATGAACAACTTTTCTCTGAATTTCTAACTTAGCTCAGCCAACTCACACTTGCTGCCTAGAACACACAGTAAGTAAAACACTCTCATACACAAGTATAGTTGCAAGAATGTAAAGACAATAACACTCACGAATTTATAGAAGCACAAGGCTTCCAACCTTTTACTATTATTCACAAAACAGTATAAGGAAAGGCCTCAACCTGTAGAAGCATACAAGAGTCTCTCACAACACAACTTTGTGTCTCACTTTCAATCTGCCCTCTCTACAGAATCCACATTAGCAATATATTTACAAACTCTCAAAACCGCCCACTAAAGTGGTGGATGACACCCCCATCCACCTGGGGTCATGTTGGCACCCACTAAGTGTGTCAACACTACATATGTAGTTGATAAGCCCAACTACTAGCTTGTTGGCACGCTATGCTCATGCCACTTGTCCACAGGAAGTTGCATATTATCTGCCACCTTCTATATATCAGCATAGTTGAAGAAACCAACTCTAACCACCTGTGTGTTGTCCCCTTAGATCTGTGCCACATGCATGGGAAGTTACTCAGCACATCCCCATTTCCCATAATATATGCATATGAGTGGGAAGTTACTCAGCACACCCCCACTATCCATAATATATGCACATTAGTAGGAAGTGTTAGTAACTTTTCCCAACCAACTGAGCCCACTTAGCCATCTTCTGTAACCATAAGTAACTTTCCCCAACCAACTGAGCCCACTTAGCCAGAATTTGCTGGAAGAAACTGCTCCTTCAGTTCTTTCCTTAACTCTGTAAATACAGTAATTTTTGGGCGTAACTCGTCCTCCACTCGAGTTCGCCACCATAATTTAGCATCACCAGACAAATACATACTGGTAATAGTTACCTTGTCATTTTCTGGAATGTGGGCTGCTCGAAAATATTGCTCCATATCCCATAAGAAATTCTCCGGATCTTTAGCACTTCTCTTGCCCCGAATGACTATGGTTCTGAAATTTTGATTTTGGAAGATGATGGCTTCTCACCTACAACAGTCTAATTGTGCATGGCCCTTTTCAACAGAGCCACCTCGCCCTCCAAATCCTTTACATGTTCTTTGAAGAGGTCTGTCATGGACATCACATCATCTGTCATAATCTGCATCTTCGAGTTTGTCTCCCCCACAAACTCTTCAAGCATCGATCGTATTGTCTGCAATTCAACTACAAATAATTCCATCTACTCCGTCAAGGCAGCAACATTGTCAGATTGTGGAGCACCCACCAAGGCCTCCAAACGAGTCACACGATCTCTCAGAGCTTCTGTAGCATTACCACCGGCCATGATGAACGCCTGTGTGCACGTGGCTGCACGCCCACGCGCACACCATGCTGGACGCCTGCCCGCATGCCCATCAAGCCATTCATTAGTTTGGATGCTCCCCTCTTTTGCCCTCTTGTGCAACTATCTCGTAGTGGTGCAACATGTGCCCATACACGTTGGATAAGCCTTCTAAACAAGCCATGCCATAGCCCAACTGATGTGCTCAACAGACCCCCCTAGTATAGTCTTAAGGAAAATCAGCGCTTTGACATGAGTAAACATCATCTTTTATGGACTTCTTCTTATCTTGTGTGGTAAGTCAATCGAAGCCCCCTGACAGCCATGGGATGCTGTCAGCGTGCACTGGGGGTGCCCAGTGTCATTTTCATAAATATGGCGAAAAAGTGAAGCTTAGAGTTTTGGCTCGAGATCTTTATGGGAGGTACCTTGAGTCTATAGAAGATGGTTGGCGTAGACGGCACTCAATTTGGATGTCGTACACTTTTAGACATTTATATGTGGGTGTAGATTAGTGGGTTTGACATAGGTTAAGTTCACAAGGTTGGCTCAGATGTTGCTTAAAGCATGGATCACACAAGTCATGGACGTGTGGAATAGTCAAGTTAGGGACATGGGCATAAGGCAGTGGGCGTAGGCAAGGCTCAACGTGCAAGGTTGGCTCAGGGGATTCAGATATGGCTTATGGTTACAGAAGTTGGCTAAGTGGGCTTAGTTGGTTGGGGGAAATTACACTTCCCACTAAGTGGGCTTAGTTGGTTGAGGGGAAGTTACTAACACTTCCCATTAAGTGGGCTCAGTTGGTTGGGGGAAGTTACATTTCCCACTAAGTGGGCTCAGTTAATTGGGGGAAGTTACTAACACTTTCCACTAAGTGGGCTCAGTTGGTTCGGGGAAGTTACTGACACTTCCCACTCATGTGCATATATTATAGGGAGTGGGGGTGTGCTGAGTAACTTCCCATGTATGTGGCACAGATCCGAGGCGTCAATACACAGGTGGTTAGAGTCGATTTTCTTCCACTATGCTGATATATAGGAGGTGGCAAATAATGTGTAACTTCCTGTGGACAAGTGGCATGAGCAGAGTGTGCCAACAAGCTAGTAGTTGAGTGGTGGATGACACCCCCATCCACCCACAACTACCCACTAAAATGGTGGATGACACCCCCATCCACCTAGGGTCATGTTGGCACCCATTAAGTGTGCCAACACTACATATGTAGTTGACAAGTGCAGATTAGTGGGCTTGGTATGGGCTAAGTTCACAAGGTTGGCTCAGATGTTGCTTAAAGCATGGACCACATAAGTCATGGACATGTGGCATAGTCAAGTCAGGGACATGGGCATATGGCAGTAGATGTAGGCAAGGCTCAGCGTGCAAGGTTGGCTCAGGGGACTCAAACATGGCTTATGGTTACAGAAGATGGCTAAGTGGGCTCAGGTGGTTGGGGGAAATTACACTTCCCACTAAGTGGGCTTAGTTGGTTAGGGGGAAGTTACTAACACTTCCCACTAAGTGGGCTCAGTTGGTTGGGGGAAGTTACACTTCCCACTAAGTGGGCTTAGTTGGTTGGGAGAAGTTACTAACACTTCCCACTCATATGCATATATTATGGGGAGTGGGGGTGTGTTGAGTAACTTCCCATACATGTGGCACAAATCTGAAAGACCAACATACAGGTGGTTAGAGTTGGTTTGTGCGCGTGGGCGTGCAGCCACGTGCACATAGGTATTCAAGCATGGCACACATTGATGAGCACCAGCATGCACACCGGCGTGCAGCAGCGCACTTAGGGGCGTGCATCCGGGTTCACACTCAGACATGCACACCGGCGTGCATGGCTTGGCACGCCGTGCACTCAGAGACATCTACATTTAGGTTCGGACTTGTGGGCTTGACTCCAGATGGCTCGTGGCTTGTATGAGTGGGAAGTGTTGGTAACTTTCCCTAAGCAAATTCTGGCTGGGTGGTTCGGGAGTCATTGAGGAGACTCAAGCATACGGGTACAGTGCGTGAATATGTGAAAGAGTTCATATCTTTGATGCTGAATATCAAAAATATGTCCAAGGGGGACAAATTGTTTAATTTTATAACAGGCTTGCAATCATGGGCACAAATCGAGTTAAGGAGGAGCGGTGTGATTGACCTCTTTTTTGCTATAGTTGCATCAGACAGCCTGGTAGACTTACAGATTGAAAAGTCTGACTCTACTACCACCAACAAACTGAAGAAGAAGGGCAAGTTCAGTGACAAGCCTAAGAGGTATGGTTTTGCTGAGGAAGAGAAAGACAAAGGTGTGATGGCCCAAGTTTTTCAACCCGGTGCGTCAGTGATGAATAGAAAAATGACCCGATAATGGATCCGAAATGCGAAAGCAAAAGACAAAAAATAGTCTCTAGAGATACAACATGACTCTAAGACGCCAATGTGACCCTCAACGAGGTCACGGAACCCAAAGGAATCAAATG